TTTATCAATATTTTGAGGCCTACTTTCCGTTAACCTGGCGATCTACTCAGCTATTTATTTTATATAAATAGGCAAAATATTGTTGAAATTGGTAGTAAATGAAGACGACTATTGCTGATAAGTGTTTGAGCTCTAGACGTTGCGTAGAGATCATTCATAGGCCATTTCCAGAGCAAAGAGTTTAATTCAGGCGAAATTGTCATCCTGGGGTAAGATTGACATCAAGACTTTAATTTTCTTTAAGATAAGTGGAACTGACTTCCAAAGGGGTCTTTTCTGTATATTTACAAATGGCTAGTTACATGTGCAGTCAGAGTCTTACAAAATATCCACCTTAATTTCATGAATATTTATATATAAACTCGCAAATAATTATCGATTTGTACATACAGAGGTTACCAAAAATTATATTTATATATTACAGGTTTTGGCCTGGTTTGAAGAACACGAGGATTCAATCAGTGCCTTCGTAGAACCTTTTGTCATCCTCCTGATTCTGGTTGCCAATGCGATTGTCGGTGTCTGGCAGGTAATTATATTAAGCTTATATGACATGATCAGAAATCAGTTTCATTTCTGCATTGTCTAAAACATATATATATATATATATAGCTTTATATCAACAAACTCGTAAATATTATTAAATAATTATGCTATATTAGCATCTCACTTCATAATCTAGTCACTTTTTAATTAGCTTTTGACTTATTGCTTAAAAGAATATTCTTTTTCAGAATTCTGGTTTTCATTTTTTTAAGGATAAAAATCGATTCAAATTAATTATGCTTTGATACTTGCATTATATCCGCTTTTGTTTTCAGGAAAGAAATGCAGAGTCTGCAATTGAAGCATTAAAGGAATATGAGCCCGAAATAGCGAAGGTTTATCGAAAGAATCATAAAGGCATTCAACGAATTAAAGCAAGAGAATTGGTACCTGGCGATGTAGTCGAGGTATCTGGTACGTAAATTGAATTAATACCTGTAGCAATTTTGTCCTATGCTAATGTGTATACGTACATGCACGCCTGCGCACAATTTGGGGAAGCATATATTTGGATGGATTTATGTGTGCCTGGCGCACCTTTGTGCCAAATGTTTAGTTAAGTAAAATTACAATGTCAATCAATCTAGAGTGACTATTAATGAATTTATACGTAGTGGAATAAGGCCTCAGCCAGAATAAATGCAAAGCAATGATGCAAATGTTCGGTTTACCCTAAGTATCATTCTATTTACATTAATCTCGCTAACCAAGCTAATCTGTTGCACAGATTTAGTATCAAAGTGGCAATGGAGAATAGTTACTTCTGTGAAAAAGTCAAATTTCCAGAGAAAACATCTGTTAAAACGAGTAAAATTCAGCTTATTGTGTGCTTATTTGAAAAATAAAAACCCAATAAATGAATGAACAATCACTTGGTTATGATGGAGGAATAGGAAAAAGGATCAATTTTGTCTTTACCAGAAAGTTGAGGTTCAAGCAAAATAATATGGTTGAGGATGCCTTCCTCCTCAAGTTTAAATGATGTATACTTATGAGGCTTAAGCTTGAAAGGTATCTTTTTATTCAGGTTTTATTTTTCACATGCAAAACTTGGTTGGTTGAAATCGTCCAAATAATTTTTAAAATAACGAGAAAAAGTGGCAAGTCTCGTGAATGTTGATGCATTAACAATGTGTTATAGTATGAACTATTATGTAAATTTAAACGATGTCTTAGCTGCAAAAGTACTATCCTCTCATATACGAGGTTAAGGTTACAGGTCTACAGAGTAAATTAAGTCATAAACTGTTTATCCGCATGGAGCGGGTGTATATTTAAGTTATAGAGAACCCTTTCAATGTTTATAGTTTGAATACAGTATAGTATGAATTACGGAGAAAGCAAGTTCGATTTACAGCATGTAACACCCACTCATGCTGAAAGGGGCCCATTTTGTCTTGGAAATCCTACAAGGCCTTTAGAAAAGGATTCTCTTCTTTCCTAAAAATAATTAGGCTAACTTCCGTTAAAAGAATTGAAAGAGTCTTATCCGACGCAAGTTTATAAACAAGACGGGATAAAATAGTGAAGGCATCGTGAAATTCTTCTTAGTCTTCTGCACGGTCCCTAAAATTAATGGAAGATAATACACTACATACATTTATGAAAATAAAAGTAAGGGTTTAGGGTGTACGGCCAAGCTAAACATTCATTTGAAGCTAATACCATGCATACCAACAGCTTATATTCTTTCTAAAAATTTAGGCTATGTAAATAAAATTATGAACCATCATGGAATGTCTCTCTTCTTATAGGTTTCTAGTCCTCAATATGTTACCAATGTTGTTAACATACTTATTGATATCTTAGCTTGCAGATTAAATGGGGTTTATCACAGCATATATCGCCATATTTATTAAGCCTTCACTGTGGTTCTTAATAACTTTTCGTAGTTTCTATTCATTGTCTCCTTCAAAATGATCTATTTCTGTTCTGTTTTAGTTGGGGATAAGGTACCCGCTGACATACGAATTACTAAGATTTACAGCACAACACTTCGCGTGGATCAATCTATTTTGACAGGAGAATCAGTCTCAGTAATCAAGTTTACGGAGGAGGTTCCAGACCAACGAGCTGTTAATCAGGACAAAAAGAACCTCCTATTTAGTGGTACAAACATAGCGGCAGGTAAGTCTCGTGGCATTGTCATCGGCACCGGTCTGGGCACTGAAATCGGCAAAATTAGAAACCAAATGATGGACACTGAGCAAGAGAGAACACCACTGCAGCAAAAGCTAGACGAATTCGGACAACAACTATCCAAGGTGAGATAAATAAGTTACAATAAAACACTGTCATCCCGTAACCGTAGATCTATAAGTAACAGAGCTTTACATATTCTGATTCATTCTTTCATGTCAATTATCAATTATTCCTTTTAAGAATTAATAGTAAAATATAAATCCCTCGATTCTCATGTTTACCTACAAGATAATGTCGAAATAATTAAAGTCATTCAACATTCAAAGTATCCTGATGAAAATGTTTTTAGTGATTTGAAGTAAATTTGGTTATACAGTAATCTAGTGTACAATTGATGACAGATGCTAGAGTCATGGATTTTATATACTATTTACACTGCTACTGTCAGTTTACTTGTAATGCAGAAAGAAGGTCAAAGCCGCTCAAAAAGGGCATCTTACACTAGATTTAAATAAGTAAGAAATGAATTGCGATGGTGAAGGCATGATACGAGGATATAGGAGAGGTGAATAGCCCAGGACAAAAGAAAAGATACCACAACTGTTTAGCACACATTTGGTCAAAGGATCTGCTTCACTTGCCTCTTTAATAAGTTGTTTTGTGGTGCTAAGACTGACA